GCATGCTGGTTTATTAGTATGTGGATGGGAGGGTGTCGGTTTTTACATCTGTAAGGGATGAATGTGACCAACTTGAGGATCAGAGATCACACTGCCAGCTATGTAGGTGGTCAGTAAATGGTACTGGTGGTGGAAGAGAGGTTGGAGTGGGTTGATTTGAGCATTTTGCAGGGGACGAGGCTGAAACTCCTCAAACATGCCCCCTCAGCCAGTGAGATCGGGGGGAAAGGACCATCAGGCATGGGCTGCCTCAGCAGCTTCCATTCCCATCTCCAGCCTGCCTGCATCCTCGCGTGTTTATCTCCCTTCTGAGGCCTGGATCCTTTCCCCACGTGAGCTGCAGACCAGTAGGCACCACAGACTCAACAAGTCCGAATGTCTGTCCAGCCTCCTCCCTTTACATTCTTGGCGAATGGGCTGCCGGGTCTGGAACCCAGGGCTGCTTTCTCCCTTGTCCCTCATGACCAGTGGGCCATAGATGTGAGCTTCTCACGAGTCCATTTCTTCTGCCTGTTTCCACGGCCTGTGCCTTAGTTCTGTCATTTCTCATTCGTGTTCTAGAACAACCTCCCAACCCCTCCACACCTCTAGGGAGTCTGTTTCTGGAGTGAACTTCCTGAAATGTAAATCTGATCATGTTAGTCTCTCCTTAAAATCGCTAGTGATTTCCTCGTGGTTTTCGGAGTAAAATCCAGACATCCCGACATCTCCTTCATGAGCTGGCCTGTTACCTCTCTACCAGCTGATTTATTCAAAGGTATTTATTGAACTCATGGCACATGCTACGATGTATTTTACCTCTGTGTATGTGAGAGACAGACAATAAACAAGTAAACCAAGAAGAAGACAAACACAGTAGGTAAGAAGACTAGTAAAGTCGCAGGGTTCTGGCCTATTAGATCAGAGGAGGTGACATTGCGGCTGTGCTGAGTGGGAGAAGGAGCCTGGGGAGGCTGTCCACACAGCGGGAGGGCCAAGGCAGGACCTGGAGGTGAGGAACTGTCCGAAGGCCAGTGTGGCTGGAGGAGAGGGAACAAGTGGGAAAGATGAGCCGGGTGAGAGGTGAGAGGGCAGTCGGTGCCAAGCCTGTGGGGAGAGGGAGGCATTTGGGTTTATTCTAAATGCTGTGGGAAGCCACCCGACAATGTGTCGCCTCTTTTTGCCTTCACACTGCATTCCCTAACCTCCGGTTCCCTTGCCAGGATCTCTTCCCAAGTCTTTCAAACCTCATTCATCCCTTTCATGCCTCCTCTTTGGGATGCAGATGTTATTTCTCCAGGGAGCCCTCACTTGCTGTCTGGAACACCTAGCCTTAGCTAGCCCTGCGTGGTAATTGTCAGTTACTCTAACTGCTAGGGGATGAATCTTTTTTCTTTGTGTCTGCAGCCCCATACTTGGCAGGCATTCAGGGAACCTTTATGAAATGAGAACAAACTGCCCTATTGTAAATTTCACCTCACTTGGGCAACTTCCTCCAAACTCCCTTGGCACTTTTAAAGGGAGCCTCCTGTAGCAGATTTTCAAAGACTTGTCCTTTGATTGCCCCTTCCAGGGCAGCTGTCATCCTTCCTTCTCTTTCACACTTTCACCTACATGCAAAGCCAGACAGCAGGGTGATGGGAAGCTTTGGAGAGAGCCCAGCCTTCTCCAGGCTGACAGGCTGAGGCGTTTCCTTTCCTAACATAAGCTCCCTGCCTCTACCACTCCTGTTGTGGTTGGGGAACTCAGAGCTGTGCTTTATGGGGCTTCTTTTTTCAGTGCCTAGGCAGGGACTTGAACCCTGGACCCTCACATTAAGAGTCTGAGGCTCTACCAACTAAGCTATCCAGCTCCACGAGGTTGCTTAAGCAGAGATAATTGAGGGAAAGGTGGGAGAGGATTAGAGGGGAGATTTTTGTCAGCAGTCCCTTTCTGATATGAAAGAAAACTTTTCTGATCTAAAGCTATGGCCTATAAAAGTTTTTGATTGTGGCCCACAGTAAAAAACAATTTATATTATGAACTAGCACCCACAAACACGTAAATAAACCTTAAAGAGTTTCACTATACAGTATTTACTCTTATGCATAACGTATCTGACATTTTCTAGTTTCTTTTTTTATTTCTTCGTTGATGTTTAATGTTATTGCTCTTAAATGCCCACTAATTGATTTTATGATGACTAATGTGTTCTGACTTAAGGTTTGGAAATCATGGGCCTCTGCTGGAAGGAGGCCATTTTGTAGAACACCTCAAGGAGATGGTCCTGTGTAAATTTTAATTCCTGAGATATGCAGGTTGGACTGCAGTTTAGTATTTAGTGTGACAGAGAGAGCTGATTGGTGGCTGAGGCTCTGGGTGAGCAGCACTCCACCACATACCAGACATGTGACCTTGGGCAAGTTCCTAACTCCAGATTCCACAGATGTCAAACCGACTTACACTTCCTCACTGGGCAGGTAAAGTTTGTAGAAATGTCCAGCGCAGACCCTGGCCCACGGTGTATTTTCACGCACCCCGGCTGGATGTGATAAGATGCAGCTGCGCAGGACTGAGGGGTCTCAGCAACATTGATGGTCCTCTTGCCGATCTGGCCGCCCTTTCCCAGCTGTTTACAGTGGGTGGCCCATGCTTGAATTTGGCAGGCAGGGAAAAGGAAATACTTTCTGCTGTTCATGTTGTTACAGCCGCATGTGTGTTTCGCTTCCCAGCCACACTCCATGTGTGTACACATGCGTATACACTCCCTGCTCCCCTCACAGTGGTGCCTGTCACCTCCCCATCCTCCCAGGAGGAGGAGATCCAACTTGCACAGGGCAGCAACATGGATGATCATGCCACATAGAGTCTTACAGACCCTGCTGAAGATAAGATCTATGCCCATATCTAGCAGCATAAATTGGGAAGAAAGACGTTTATAAAAAATTTTTTTGCATTTGGACATAATTTAATGTGGAGTTGTGCTTTTATTAATTGGAGGCAGTGTTGTATAGCAGAAAGAATACATAGACTCTGGATGGGTCACCCCTCAGTTTGCATGTTACTTGACCTTTCTGAGCCTGAGTTTCTTCACCTGTGAAATGAACATCATAATATCTATTCTTGAAGCAGTGTGAATGGGATGAAATGTGTAGAGTGCCTAGTACAGGCCCTGGCACACGATAGGCACCTTCATACATGATTGCTATGAATTTTCATTGCATGCATATTTTCCTGTTCCACGAAACACATTATGCCTTTGCTTACATTTCGGCTTCCATCTCCTGGAGGGCTCCCTGCCCCTCCTTCTCTCTACTCCATGCAAATTCTGCACTACATTAAATCTGCATTCGTAGTCTATATAATCCACAGGGTTCCTGCCCCCAGCCCACAGGCTTTTCTCCACTACTTTGCATTGGTCTAACACTTGCTATTTGGGAGATGATAACAAAGCAACCATAGATCTTAAGGTTTCCATTCTTGTTCTTGAGATTACTTTTTTTAAAACAGCCGTAAAGGTATAATTGACATAAAGTACACATATTTGATAAGTTTGACATATGTATGCACGTGTGAAATCATCACCACAATCAAGATGAAGCACATATCCATCACCCCTCAGGAGTTCCTCCCTCTGGCCTTCCTTGTTACCTCTTCCATTTCCCAGGTGACCACTGATGTGCTATTTGTCACTGTAGATTAGTTCATAGTTTTAAAAGACTTTTATGAAAAAAGAATTATAGGGTATATCCTTGTTTGACTGGCTTCTTTCACTGGGCATAATTATTTTGAGATTCATTCATGTTATGGGTATCAGTAGTTTATGTATTTATTTACTTTTTATTTTATTTTTTTTTTGAGACAGAGTCTCACTGTGTTGCCCAGGCTAGAGTGCCGTGGCGTCAGCCTAGCTCACAGCAACCTCAAACTCCTAGGCACAAGCAATCCTTCTGCCTCAGCCTTCCCAGTAGCTGGGACTACAGGTGTGCACCACCACGCCTGGCTAATTTTTTATATTTTTAGTTGCCCAGCTAATTTCTTTCTATTTTTAGTAGATACGGGATCTTGCTCTTACTGAGGCAGGTCTTGAACTTCTGACCTCAAGCGATCCTCCCGCCTCGGCCTCCCAGAGTGCTAGGATTACAGGCGTGAGCCACCACACCCAGCCTGGAATTTTTTTTATTGTGGTAAAATATATATAACATAAAATTTACAATTTTAACCATTTTTGAGTGTATAGTTCAGTAGCATTAAGTACATTCACACCCATCACCACCATCCATCTCCAGCAGTTATTCCTATTCCCCCAGCTGAAACTCTGTGCCCATTAAACAGCAATTCCCCACTCCTCTCTCCTCCCAGCCCCTGGAAACTGCTATTCTACTTTCTGTTATCTGTGAATTTGACTGTTTCAGGAACCCTATAAAGAGGATCTGAAATTTAATCAATTTAAATTTAAATAGCCATATATGGCTAGTAGCTACCTTGCAGGAGGTGCAGGCCTAGAGCCAGAGTGGGCCGGGGGAGCTCTGCCTCTCACAACATCTGCATCTGCTCCCTAGAACAGTCTAAATCGAGGCGTCTGGTCCAGTGCCCATTCCCTAGGCCTTTGTGGCTGGAGGAGGGTAACTGAGAGAGGCATCACTCAAATAAACAAGCATCTCTTCCGTGCGTGGAGACTCCGATGATAGCAGAGGACATTGCTCTGGCTCTGGAAGTCCTGGATTCTTTCCGCAGACAGTCTGTTCCAGGAGGTCTCTGCCCTTTGCACTCCGGCGTCCCTGCTTGTGATGTGGCGTTGTACCAGCGTCTTGTCCTTGGGGTTGGTGTGAGAAGTAGTGAAACTATTAATACATTTTTAGTGTTTTGCACCTACCAAAAGCTGTCCTTTCAGTGAGAGGCGTGATGTAGTTAGCACTCCTGAATTTGGAAGGGTAGCATCGTCTGTGAATCGTAAATCACATTTGAGGTGGAAGTGAAACTCCTCTAATTAACCACCGTGAAAGCGTCTCACCCGCATTCTCGTTCTGTGGTTTCTCCAGTTCTGGATTTCAGCGATCCCTTCAGCACGGAGGTGAAGCCGAGAATCCTGCTCATGGGGCTGAGGAGAAGCGGCAAGTCGTCCATCCAGAAAGTCGTCTTTCACAAAATGTCTCCCAACGAAACCCTGTTCCTGGAGAGTACTAACAAGATTTGCCGGGAAGATGTATCCAACAGCTCCTTTGTCAATTTTCAGATTTGGGACTTCCCAGGACAGATTGACTTTTTTGACCCTACCTTTGACTACGAGATGATCTTCAGGGGAACAGGAGCGCTCATATTCGTCATCGACTCCCAGGTAAGGCTCAGAGTCTCGGGGGGCATGATGGCCTGGCACCCCCACCCCAACCCCCATGTTAAAGCAAATTCCTTGATGATGGTTCTGCTTTGGTTTCTAAACTCTGGAGTAGATCTTTCTACCAAACAAGCATTTCTTAGGGCTCTCAGACTTTGCAAAAGAGAAAAGACTCCAGCCTTGACCAGTCAATCTGCTGACTGTTAGGGAGGTGTTCACACTGCAGCAGATAGTAGACCC